ATTTCAGAGTCTAATCATGTTGTCACTCTGCATGACTTCGTTAAGGGTTCATTTTTCACCAATTCTATACCATCTTCACTAAATACTATTGCTTTTTATTCATGTCCTTGGTGGTTCTGCTCCCACGTTTAATGTTGATTTATCAGCTGATTAACAACCCTTCAGGCAATTAGGATCATCCAATACTTCCTTGCTTGTTTCCCCCAAAATCTGCAATTCTTGTGTGATCAATCATTTTCTCATGTGGGCTCACATCTTTGGAACAAACTCCCTTCAAATATTAACACTCTCCTCCATCACTGACTCCAAGGTTTTTTCTAAAAATTCACTTGTTTCAGGATAGTAATATATTACTGATTATTTTTTTTTGTGTGGGGGAGGGTGGGGTTAATTATGTACTGCGCGGACACCATCCCATTATCGCTGTTGTAAAGCAGGTGATATATATTTCTAAAAATTGATGTAAAACTAGGAATGGGACTGAATATGTTGAAAGAAGCATTGCGCTTCTTTATGGTTTATAGCCATACAAATTGTGTTCCCGGGGAGCATATGTGAGCAGTTATGGCTAGGTTGTGATTGTTGGCTTTAATGAGTGTTCTGATAGTTGTTTGTTTTGAGTTTTATGTTTGTTTTTGTCACTTTTAATGACTCAATATCATATTATTCTTACAAGGTTCTGATGCAGCAGACGTTGTTCAGACAGTGACAATGGCAAGTGCGTCTAGTTCTGGACGTGCTGGTAAAAGAAAGCTTCCAGCCAAATTGATTAAGGGTGCCAGCACCACTGGACAGGTACAGAAATGAAATAAATGCAATTCTTGAACGTATCGTAACATTGACACCAAAGAGGGTCAATTGTCAGTGAAGTGAAAAGATTCCAATCAAACATGCCAAAATGACAAATAAAAAAGCAAAGAAAACTTCTAAGAAATGTAGAAGGGCTGCGTAGCACCGTGATCAGAATATAGACAAGAATACACGTATAATATAAAATCAGTGCTCTGGAATATGTGATTGCCAAGCTTTCGGTAACTGAGTACCTTCTTCAGGGCAAGCAGATTATAGCCAACTTCTTTGTAGTAACACATTAAAACAGATGGCATTTTAATCACCACTTCCTAGCCAGGCTAAATAATTAACAGGGGAGAACCTGCATGCAAGGAATGTGATTTAAATTATGTAATAAAAAATTGACAATTGAACAGGATTTTAGATGACCAAACATTATTGTAAGTGCCTTATAGTTTGAATTCTAAAACCTCACAATGAATGGATATAACAGATTGAATGAATGAAATAAATCAGCCTCTGCAGACTGTAAGAACCAAGCAAATAAAAATTTATGAGGATAAATAGATTTGAACAAAAGTCAATTTAAAGAAAATACATGAAACAATGAAATTAGAGTTTGGTGGATTACTTTCCTCACACCTGAGCTGAACCCAAGCCTAAAAACTGTGCATGTTAAAACCAAAAAGAACAGTACATACACAATTCAGCAAAGGACAATTGTGGATGTACAAACTCCATTTATCAAAATTCAGCTATCAAAAAGATGCCTCCCCCCCGAAAAAAAACCCAAAATAAAGCCTACCAAGGAAAGTAAATGGATTATAAATTTAAAGTTTTCAGCTTACAGAAGACATGAGAGTGCCAGATCAAATAAAGCGTGTGGTCTTTGCCAGTTTGAAGAAAAAGTACAGAAAAATTAAATAACATGTATGGTGGGTATGTGGTTGTGGACACCCACTTGAGTTCCTTCTTAGGTTGTTCTTGGGGTAACCTGATGGGTTCAGGGATCCTGTGTCTAGAAAAAGTCATTGAATTTTTGTTGTTTGTTTTCCATGCCTTGAAAGGTCATATAGTTTTGTAAAAATGACTAAAGTCATGGAATTTTTCGAACAGTGTGATTTCTATTATCAGAAATAAGTGCATAAAATGCCTGATTTTATTCCCAACTTTAAAAGTCAGAATAGTGCAAAAAATGCATTATTGGGTCATGCATTTTCATTATTTGGTCATGGAAAAGTCATGGAATTTAAATGTCCTTAGGTGCAGGAACTCTGTGGGTTGTGTTGACTGTTCAGAGGTGCACTACACAGTCCCCTCCATTGTCCATCGGGCCCACTGGAGATTCATTATCCACACCACCACTCCTCAATGAACCCTTCAATGAAGTTACAAGTAGGGGTGATGGTGCAGACTAATGAACACACAAGCATAAATAATCAATCTTAATTGAAGCCTCTACCTCCAGCCCTATTAAAATGGGAATAAAAAAGAGCATGGGACTCTGTGCATCAATACCTATGTGCATGTAGCCTATATGAAACGATGAAGTACTCTGGTGAAGTAATAAGAACGAAATACAGCGTATTCTCATGTAAACTGAAAGTTGCAGTTGAGAGAAATAATTAACTGATCAGTTTACCTTACTGATGAATCTCTAATTTTTGAGAGAAAATAAAACAAATGATTTTTAGATTTTCTTAACCTGTTCGAATATATGTTTTTACAGACCCAAGACTCACCCTTACGCAGTGTTCAGCTTCGTATCCTGCACCTTTTGGGATCACTTGGTGGTCAGACTAATGCATACCTTCTAGAGACAAGTGCTGAAGAGATTGCCAAAGTGGCCGTAGCTTGGGACACCCAACCAAGATTACAATTTGCTGTTCCATTTGTTGACATGAAGCCAAACATTGACCTGGGTGAGACAGATGTGATTTGAAAAGTGCTACTTGTTGCTTAGTACTCTTGTGCAAGATGTCAAGAGCAATGTGTTTAATAACCATATGCAGTCAACTCTTGTCGTAAAGAACAATATTATAACAACATTCAGTTACACAAACAGATTTCAAGAATCCAGACTTCTTAAATTCTTATGCTTTTCTTTATTTTTCCATTTTTTTTATAACAAAATCCTGGTTACAACAAAGTAATTTTTCTGGTCCCTGCAACTTTGTTATGATAAGAGGACTATAACAAGGTCAAACAAATCTTCACTCTTAGGGATTAATATACATTTGAGAATCAACATATACCAGGAAAGATGACTGTCAAATTAAAGTCCGTCTTTGATCTCAGTACTTGAAAATCAGGGGGTATATCCTGACAGAGCTAATGTGTTTGTGTGTGCTATTTTTTCTAATGTCTTAGAAGTTTTTTAAATCTCAGAGTTTTCCTCTGCTTGATGAGGTGGGAGATTTTACCTGCACATAAAGTTGTTACTAAAACCGCACTTTTGCATTGCTAAAATTTGTCGTTTTATATCTAAATTTTCAGATCGATATCTGCCAAGGGTTGTTGAACTTGCTTTGACATCAGGTGATCGACAGACAAAAGTAGGTATTGCTAGAATTTTGTCACAATACTTCTTCCGGACTTGGATGCTCCATTTTGTTGGTTTTTCGTATTCTTGTTTGAATGGATTCTTTCAAAGTTTGTTACAGTGTATTCAGCATACTTTGTCATTTGAATACTGCAAGGTTTATTATATTTGTCCGTTGTGTATTGAAACTTAACCTACATCACTGTGGCCAACAAATGCTGTAGTTTCTTGTCATTGCTAACAGTTTAAAAACTTCTTCACACTTAAAAAAAAAACTGCAGGTAGCTGCGTGCGAGTCATTACATACCCTGGTTCTTTTTATGCTTGGAAAAGGAACACAACAGCCAGAACAGAGACAAGCAAAGGTGAGCGTTTGTCACATACCGGTAGTTTTCGAAAACAAGTGAGTTCTGTCATGAACTGAGACAAACAAGCTAAAAACAAACAAAACAAAATTTAAACAAAATTTCTTTAAATTTCAAATTATACGTAAATTAACTTGAAATTATATACAATTTTTATAATGTAAATGAAAGAAATTCAGAGGAGTCTTTCAAATCAACATAGTGGATCGAAATTCAGTAACGCATCAGTTCAGAAACATATTAATTCGATTTTGTATCAAAATTATCAGTCTGACACATGGAGCACCACTCAACTTTTTACGGTATGTCCCTGAAAACATGCTTTCACCTAGAGAATAAAACTTTGAAATTAGGTGCGACAAAACAAATACCATAAGAAGAGAAAGCAAATTGTTTATGAGGGGCATTTTCCTACTTCACTGTCGAATGAAAAAGATAAATAAAACTTGTTGCATAAATAGTACAAAGTGTGGTAAACCACATCAGTTCATGGTGGGTCACGAAAACGAGCGTAAAACAAACGAACCTGAAATACAAGAACTTGTCAAAAATATCTTAGGAATGAAAACAGTGGAAAATATTTGGCAATAGATATGTGTCAAACATTTTGTGAGGCCAGCTACAATAATTTCCATCACATTCCATGCTTTTCTTGCTGGCAATTCCATATACTACGAATACATGCAACACCAATAACTTGAACATGTTCTTCTCTTTGTCGTCTGGAGCAAAGAGTAACATTTCTTTCTGATCGTGGGTATTGTTTCATCATGTGTTTTCCATTTTAAGGCCATTCAGTCTTTTATGCAATTGGCCAACTTTTTCCCTATGGCCTTCCTGCAATTGGCCTTGTCCGCAGCATCCCTCACCTTGCCTCTAAGCAATCCCATGTCATCGGAAAAGGAGTTCTGCCACAATTATTTAACTGTCAGAAGTTGTAAACTGTTGTGCTTTTCAATATTAAAGGAGCACTACATGAAACAAAACACACATTATGTACATTTTGATCTGATGCAGTCTATCTCTAGGAACAACCTTAATCTATCCATGTTGGAATTCCATAGTAATAATTTAGTACCCTGCAGTTGAATGTCCATTCTTGCAACATTCTACAACGTTGAACTTGATATCTTAATTTGTGAACAAAATCAAAAGCAGTGGACGTCTAATACTCTACAATTGATTTATAATTTCGGTTTTTTTGGCATTCCCAATATACTTCCAGAGTCCCATGCAGCATTTGTATCGTCGTGTCTTTCCTGCCCTCTTCCGTCTTTCTTGTGATGTGGAGCAAGTTGCTAGGCAACTCTTTGAACCTCTTGTCATGCAGTTGATTCACTGGTTTACTGGTAACAAGAAGTTTGAAAGTGAAGAGACTACAGCACTACTAAATGCCATGTTAGATGGTGTCATTCATCCAACTGACACTTCACTAAGGGATTTCTCAGCTTGTTGTCTGAAAGAATTCCTGAAGTGGTCTATCAAGCAAACATCAAAGAAAGTAAGATAAGATGTTGTTAGATGCCAGTACAAAATGAAATCCGAGGTTGATATTTTTGTTCTGGTTGCGTAAATTGCATGTCAAATCAAAGAGTCCCATTTTCCATTATGCAGTAAGAAGGAAGTAATGAGAAATTATTTTTTGCAGGTCTTTTTTTGTTGAAATTGCTCCATATTCTTCAGTGTTGCTGAATTTTTTATATGCAGATTGCCCTATGCAAAAGATCTGTTCCACAATTAAACTGGATTTGAACTGAAAAATAATGTATATAACGGGTTTTGCCCTTACCCAACGTATATTAAT